GCCGAAGCAACCAATTTCAATTCAGCTAGCCTATATTATTGTTGTCTCTAACTTGAGCTATAATTTGATGAAAAGCATCAAATAGCTCAGTCAAAGATCCTCTAACTAAGAAGATAAAACAATCTTATAAACAAAAGACAAATATCGAAAAAAAAAAAAAAAAAAAAAAACCTCTACCTTTATTCATCTTCTCTAATTGTCAAGGAGTAGAGAGGTGACACTTGGAAAGAAAAAAAAGAAAAAAAAGAAGCAAAAGAGGGAAGTGTGGAATAGGGCCGAGAGAGGGCGACAGAGGCGGCCATGGTGTTTTTTTTTTTCTTTCTTTCTTTCTTTTAAACATTGCTATGGGCTTATTTGGTTGGAGGAAAGTTGGTAGTTAATATTTTATTATTAGATTATAAATAAGTTGAAATTAAGAAATTTTCATTGAAAATTAGAAATGATTCAGCCTTACTGGCTATTTTTTTTCTATAATTAATAAAGAATTAAAGAATACATATTTCTTAATTTTGTATTTGAATTGAAAAGAATGAAAAGGAGAAAAAAGGGAGGGGGATCCTTCCATTCCACTTCCCTTCCTTTCTCTTATTTTGATAAATAACGAAATTGAAAGGAAAAAAAAAAAAGTAAAGAGAATTTTTTTCGCTTTTCACCTCTCTTTTTAATTTTTTTCTTTTTAATTCCCCTCAACACAAACATATTATAAAAGATAGAAAGAATACATATTCCTCATTCATTACTCAATTTTAGTACAAAATTATCAACATTAAAGTTTAATTATTCCTCTCTTATGAAGTAAATGTATCAAAATTATCATACTTTTATAATTTGATTAAAGAATAACCACTACCACTAACCAAACATTAGCATGGGTTTCAAAATACCATCCTTGTCTTTATAGAAGGAATGAACCTTACCTACACCCTCCAATAGGATATCATACCAGAAAGGTGATATTCTAAATTTCCAATTACCCCTATTAACTACAATAATTGCAACTTCATTTTGAAACATAAACAAAGAAAATGTAAAACAATGTCTTATTTCCTCATTACC